AAATTTCTTTCATGGAATGGGATACAGCAGGGTGAGTCGTGTCTGAATGAAGAGGTGGAACTGACATGTCTGCTAAGCAGCGCCGTGGCCACCTGCAGGGCAGGGCCTTGGGAGGTCTCAGTGTACATAGGGGAAGACCGTTGCAATGAGTTGCGGGGAGGGTTGAGCGCTAGAGAGGGAAGGGAGCCGCTAGTTTTCCGAGACGCAGTCACTCTATTGTAGCGGCCGAGGGCGTCAAGGGTAGCACACACTAAAGTAGGGAAACGCTGAGAAGAGGACCTGGCGGAGATTGATCAGAACTGAACTGTTAGCATCTTCTGATACTCATTTACACACAGGAGAAGAATGTACGTCAATTAAAGGATAGGGTATAATATAACGATATGGGCACGGGAAATGTGTAAAATAATTGTTAATGTACATGTAGAATGAGAAACCGCAATGAGATAATCTGTCTGGATTGATAAGCGACCCTGACATACTACCTAAACAGCGGTGGGGGTGGAGCGCTGTGGGCAACTGCAGGGAAGGGCCGAAAGGGGAGCTGACGTTGAGTGAGAGAGAGAGAGAGAGACTGGAACGGCGGTGCGTTGTGGGAGGAGGTGTTGGCGTTAGCGAGAGGATGGGACACTGAACGTCTTCACCAACACGCAGTCACACCACCGCCATCCCAGGTCTGCGCCAAAAGTGTCGTAGCATTCAAACAACCCTGTTTAGATCAAGGGACGTTACACTATCTCCATTTCAGCTTCAAGCGAGAAGTGTATACTTCATTCAAACAACTCTATACAGTTCGTGGGGCGTTACGCCAGTACAGTGTTTTCTTGGTCATTGAGCATTTGCGCAATGACTGGTGATAAAAGGGACATGCACTTACTCGAAAAAATTGTTGACAACTCAGCGACAATCTTAACAAGAAGAAGGCAACACGGCACAGAAGTGCCACTTCGTGTTATCTGACGAAGGCGCGCCGATGGCAACATAGGCAACAAAAACAGCCGGCAGACCTAAGAAAAGAGCATTACCGAGCACTTCTTACCTTGACGTCACATCCCTCGTTTACTGCAGAAGAATTCAACAAGAGATATAGGATTTAAATGACAAAATAATTAATTAAAGACCTCGGCGGTATGGCAGTATCACAACATTCCATTTTACTTAATACCCCAGTAATCTGCCTTACGGGGATGAGTGAGTTGAAGGTTGTATAGATGGAACCCTAAAATGACGTAAATTTTGGGGAGAAGAGTAAATGATAATTACAAAAACCAGTTGTCCGATGAATTTGGTTCAAATGTACCTGGAGCTCGGTCTCGGATTGTTGGTCTCCGAGGGATTTGCTTTCTTTACCTTTCCAGTCGTCTGGTCCCCATACAACCCGTGTAACAGTCGGAGATCTGACCAGGGACCAGACCTCGAGTGTTTTAATGTACTGTCACGTCAGGGGCATTCTTCTTCCGTTTGCCTTGCAGGAGCTACGCTTCTGAAGCCACGTGCCGACGAACCACCTCCGACCCCTCCAGACAAGTCGTTCCATTGTATTTTTCGTTCTTCCGTAGCCTCGTTTATTAGTTTTCCATTTTGTATACTCGAATAAACTTACATCTTTTATCACCCGTGCTGCTTATCATACGTCTCGTACGTCTGTTCATCTCGATCCCGTTCACTCTGAAGTGCAAGGCCTTTTAGACCGGGTCTTCCAATCGACTGGATACCCTGAATTCAAGTTACCATCATCCCCTTCCTTCATAACCCGTAATCCGACATCCGCCGCTCCTTCGGTCACCACAGCTGCCGTCAGTAGGAATCGGATTTAAACTGACAATATCCCCGTCTTCATACATTTTTCAACGAGATTCCAATAAGAAGTACAACCCCTTCTGACGGTTTCTTTGTTAATAGCTTGATGGACGTCTCTGACTCTATAAACGGCTGAGTCGTTCCCTATTTATTTTGTACAGTTGACCTGGTTAAGATATTCCGTCCCATACCTTAAATACCTTGCACAACCTTTGAATTGATAGTGGGAGTCGACGAAACGCCTTCAGGACAATGTGCAAAAACTCACCACCGATGGTATTCAAACTCATGCACCGCCGCGGCGTGACCAACGAGGTGATCACTAGACTATCAACGCCCGGTGCGCTGGCGGAACTAAATAAAGTACAAATGATCACAATTCTATATTTCGCTGTCAGGTCACTTTTCGTCAAAAGAGCAAGGAGTTCAATATGCCGTATGGATATCATATACGAAGACGAAGCCTGTACGACATGCTTTGGACTCCTTCAAAGATTTGTGGAAATGGGGAAGGATATTAAGAGTCTTAAAATTGATATGGAGAAGCTGAGGAATCTGCCTCGCTATTCATCCAAAGAGAAGGTATCGATGATATCTGAAATTCAGGAAAATGCCCGAAATTACGCATACACGTTTTGCCTGGCTGTGCCGACAGACGAGAAAGTAAATAGTAGGTTTCCAGAGCTCGATATTAATGACAATCAGTGTCTGGTGCGAGAAAATTGTAGCCAGAGGGGATCTCAGCGAACAAAAATATGTCACGGAACACCTTGAAAAGACACAGAGAGCCAGATTAGGGAGTGGGGGTAGGCTAAATCATAAACAAAAATCGTGCCGCCGAAAATGGCAAATGATCAGGAGGTCGTAGTAAGTGGGCAGCCGTACGTTAATCCTGCAAATTCAAGCCCTCAAAAATCAGAGAATGTAGATAGTCGGGATATCCGTGAAGAAGTCTCTGCATGAATTCTTAAGCCACAAGGCCCTCGAGTTTATCGGAGTAAATGCATTGTCATAAAGAGCATCTCTGAGTCTGTTTGCGACACTTCAAAGGACCGAATACAGTATGACATGGAAATATTCCGGGAATATCTCAAACCGCTCTTAAGAGGAAACGAGAAAGTCACCGTACTGAAGGCTTTCGGGATTGGCCAAATAAAAGACTCACAACATGAACCAGACTGACCGAGACCGCTATAAATGGCCTTCCAGTATGAGGAACAAGCGCAGCTACGGTTAAGCAGGATATCTGCGCTCTAAAATGTCCGCCAATCAGTTCTTCTTCAGCGGGACGTTCTGCCTGCAGAGAGAGAGGAATGGAGGGCTTTCAGATTGGAAGTCCGCAGACCGTCGAGCCTGGGCGAGAATATTCTCAAAATATTGAACGGGAAAATTGTACGCGACTAGAGGCCATTCCCCTGGAAAGACCCATACCCCTAAACGCTTAGGAGTGACGGAAATCAGTACATGTCTATAAGTCCCGGACGGCTTTTGTATTCATTCCCATGAAATGGACAAAAGGGTGTATATCGGAGTAGCTCAGGCCAAAATGAGACTTTTGCATACTAATGCTCATGGTCTCGTTTCCAATATGGACGAAATCAAAGTGCTCGTTTCAGAGCAAAACCCTGAACTCCTTGCCATGAAGGAAACGTGGCTTAGAGCCGAAATCATGGATGCTGAGATTTTGATACCAGGTCAGAAGCTCTTTTGCAGCGGCCGCCAAAATAGACACGGCTGTGGGGTAGTCGTATATGTATGGACAGGAATTTAGGAAGTTGAAAGAGCCCACACCATCTCCGTTGAATATGAATCCGCTTGGATGAATATAAAGATGAATAACGCGTAAGAACTAGAATTTCTTACGGTTTTGAGCCACCAGACCTTCCAAGTGACAGTTCGACCATCGGTTTCGATGATGTCCACCGTGTGCCCCACAGTTGCAGCAGCAATGGGAGCAGGGACGGTGACTTACGCTGGGGTTTATAATGCCAGTAAACTTGCGCCGCATCTACCTACACTCTCTCCTCCCTCGCCCGAGCCCGGTGTCAAGACAGAGTCAAGAAGACCGGAGATGAGAGAGGCCGCAGGTGGATGGCTCGGACGGATCCTCACCTTGGCGTTCCACCACACCACCTGGTCCGCACAACAAATAACCAGGATTTCAACCAACACAAGAGAGATTTGAAGGCTGGCACTGCCGAAGCCGCACCTGGGCGTACCGCCAACGCCTGTCTCGGATCCCACACTGTGATGGGAGTGCCATAAAGGCCATATTAATAAGGAGCCATTGCATCCTGACTCTCAGACCACCACCGGTCATTGAGGAGGTCCAAGTTACCCCGTCAGTTGGCAGCCTTCCAAGCCATGGCTTTTAGCGCACCGTAATAGCTTCAAGCGTGTCAGATTGTTTATAGTGAGGAGAAAGTGCGCTGAGTCGTCGACCTCACTCTCCCTTCCCACTCCCACACCCCAGCCGCTGTCCGAGCCGGTCAGCAGACTGGAGTGGGGAATGGGCGCGGTGGCTGACATGGTCGACTGACCATGCCTGCGCGCGCCACAGCACGACCTGGCCCCCCATACACACAACACCAGGATTTCACACAACGGGGGTTGAACGGCGTGTCTCTCACTTGCGTGAGAGTGCCGTGGAAGGTGCTGCTTCAGCCCGCCGCTCAGCCCACCAGTCCGCCAGTCCACACAACATATACACACAACGCGACGAACTGCGTGAACCAAGTGGGGCGTCAATCAGCAACCTTCCTATCCAAGAGGGTTGACGTGTCGGGATAGTCTCGTACTCAAGTCACCCGTGCAGCCGAAGCCGCATGGGGACGGAGTCGAGATGCGGACTTCCCACTCGCGTGGGAGGTGGCAGTTGGGTGCATGAGGTGTGTGAGTGTTGATTTCTGGTGGGGTGATGGTGGTGGTGGAGGAGGTAGGGAGTGAGTGAATGTGTGGTGTGGCCGGCGGTTGTCTACCGCAGGTCGTCGTGGATGCGCATGTGGCCGAATAGGCCCATGCGATGCCTGAAAGTGCGAGGATAGTGTGGGCAGTTGAGACGAGCTTGGTGGGTATAGGTGGGTGCTCCAGGCACTGGTTCGCCAGCCTCTGTGCGATGGATTCGCAAGTGACCGACCGGGCCGATGCGTGAGGCGATTGTGCGTGGACAGTGTGAGCATGAGAAGTCGGCGGTGTTAGTGTCAGCTACAGAGGAGGCGGTGGTGGTGGTAGTGATGGTGGCGCGGACGGATGGAACGAGGGTGGGGTGTGCACGGTGGATGTGTTGGATGTGGTGGATGCTTCGGTAGTGCGGTCAAGGCCGCTCTCGTAAATGCGCATGTGGCCGAGAAGGCCAATGCGATGCCTGAAGGTGCGAGGGCAGTGTGGGCAGTGGAGGCGAGTGCGGTGGGTGTAGGTTGGTGCTTCATGCACTGGTTCGCCAGTCTCTGTGTGATGGATTCGCAAGTGACCGACCAGCCGATGTGTGAGGTGAAGGTACGGTCGCAGTGAGGGCAGGTGTAGTCGAGATCCTCATCCCTGGAGTCGGGGGAGGTGGTGGTAGTGTCGGTTTCTGTACGCGGCACAGTGGCTTGAGCGGCCGCCGTTGGAGCAGTGGACGAGGAGGAGGAGGAGGAGGAGGAGGAGGAGGAGAAGGAGGAGGAGGAGGATAATGAGGAGGAGGAGGATGATGGAAGTGGTGGGTCAGAAGAATTGTCAGGGTTATTTGGCGGCGGACAGGAGGAGAAGGAAGAGGCTGGCGGGGGGACGATGTTTGGTGCAGCTCGAGAGTTACAGTTGATCCGAAGATGTCCAACAAGTCCGATTCGAGCCCGTATCGTCCGTTGACATCGAGGACACGTTGGAAGCGGTTGTGCGGCGGCGTTGCTTACTGGGCGAATTTGTGATTTGCGGGCTTCGCGTTTCACTTTGGCGGCAGCGATGCGGTTGGCTTCGTAGATCGCAGCGCCTGTCTTCACTGTCCTCCTCCAGGTCGGTCGATCGAGTGCTAGCTCCTCCCAGTTGGTCGGGTTGATTTGCAGGCATTTCAGGGAGGACTTCAGAGTATCCTTGTAACGGCGAATTTGGCCTCCTTGACGGCGAGAACCCGTCGCGACGTCTCCGTAGAAGAGTCGTTTCTGTAGTTGCTCGTCGTCCATGCGCACCAGGTGGCCGCTCCAGCGCAGCTGCATTTGCCTCAGTATGGCGTAGATGCTGAGGACTCCCGTCCGTTCCAGCATATCAGTGTCGGGGATTCGATTCTGCTAATTTAGCCTCAGGATGCGACGAAGACATCTGACTTGGAAGTGGTTCAGACGACGTGCCTGCTTCGTGTACACCGTCCAAGTCTCCGATCCAAACAGTAGCGTCGGCAGGATGACGGTCTTGTACATCTTTAGCTTCGTGCTCAGTTGAAGACCGTGGCGATTCCAAACTGTGCTTTGGAGGCGACCGGAGGCTTGACTGGCTTTCGAGATCCTGTTGGCGACTTCGTCGTCGATCTTGGTGTTTCGGAAGAGATTACTGCCCAAGTACGGGAAGTTCTCCACCACTTGCAGTTGGGTTTCGTTCACGCTAATTTGCGGCGCATTGGAAGTATGGCTGAGTTGGGTGGCGGTTGATGCATCACCATCGTCTTCTGCGTGTTGATAATCAGGGTAAAGTTCTCGCAGGCGGCGGAGAACAGGTCCATGCTTCGTTGCATCTCCTCTTCTGACGTGGTGTTCAGGGCGCAGTCATCGGCGAAGAGGAGTTCGTGAACGGTGGTGGTGGATACGCGCGATTGTAAGTGCATCCGCCACTGATTCAGGAGGTGACCGTCCGTCCCGTAGGCGATGCGGATCCCGGGGCGTTCGTCGCGGTAGACGTCCATAAGCATGGCAGCGAACATAAGACTGAAGAGGGTTGGTGCCAGAACGCAGCCCTGCTTCACTCTGTTGGTCACTGCAAATGCCTCTGAGACAGCTCCGTTGTCCGTGACTCGCGCCATCATACCGTCGTGCAGCTGACGCACCATCTGAGTGATTCGCTCCGGACAGCCGAATTTCTGCATGATCTTCCACAGTCCTTCACGATTCACCGTGTCGAAGGCTTTCGTCAGGTCCACGAAGGTAGAGTAGAGGTGGGTCCGCATCTCCTGACACTTCTCCTGAAGTTGACGGGCGGCGAAGATCATATCCGTGGTCCCACGATGACGACGGAAGCCGCATTGGCTTTCCGGCAGAAGACCCTGTTCCAGATAGTTATTGAGGCGGTTGAGGAGGATTCGTGCGAAGATCTTCCCGGCGATATTCAGCAGGGAGATGTCGCGGTGATTGTCGCAGACTTGGCGATTCCATTCGCACTTGTAGAGATGCACGATGGTTGCGTCCTTGAAATCTTGCGGGACTTCACCTTGACGCCATATCTCCTGGAAGAGCGCAGTCAGGTGATCCATGAGTTGGGGACCTCCGTGCTTGTAGACCTCAGCAGGAATTGCGTCCGATCCGGGTGCTTTCCCGCTGGAGAGCTGCTGCACGGCCCTGATGGTCTCCTGGAGAGATGACGGGAGGTCGAGATCCACGTTGGTCTCCACTTGCGGCAGGAGCTCGATGGCGGCGTCGGAGATGACGGAGGGGTGGTTGAGGACGCCTCGGAAATGCTCGGCCCATCGCTGCAGGATTTGCGTCTTCTCAGTCAGGAGAGTGTTGCCGTCGGCGCTGAGGAGAGGAGCGTGCCCTTCGTCGGCGGACCGTAGACAGCTTTGATCGCAGAGAAGAATTTCTTCCATTCGCTACGGTCTGCGTAGCCTTCGATCTCCTCAGCTTTGCGAGCAGTCCAGGCGTCCTGCATCTCGCGCAGTCGTTGCTGAAGCTGTCGGCGACTGCGGTAGAAGGCAGCTTTGGTGGCATCAGTGGGGTGATCTACGTAGGCTTTGTGTAGGCTGTTCTTCTCAACAAGCAGATTTCTGATGGCGGCGTCGTTGTCGTTGAACCAGTCCTGGTGTTGGCGGGGAGCGCAACCGAGGACGGCGAGCGCCGTCGACTGGACCATGTCTCGCAGTTGACACCAACGGTTCTCTACGGAGGCGTTCTCGGCGGTGGCGGTGTCGTCGGCGGCAGCGATTGGAAGGTTGTCTAGCTGTTGAGCTAGCTCATTGCTGAAATGAAGATGGTGAGCGGGCAAAGACAACAAGGCAACATTCAGCTTACCTGGGGGTCGCTTACCTTGTGGTCTCCTGCGAGGCCGTAGGCGAATACGCATATTCGAGATGACGAGGCGATGGTCGGTCTACCCGTCAGCACCCGAGATCGCCTTCGTCACCATCACGTCCTGCTGATCTCGCCTCCGGACGAGGACATAGTCCAGCAGATGCCACTGGCGCGACCGAGGATGCCTCCAGATGGCCTACTCTCGCTCCGGCAGACAGAAGAACGTGTTTGTCAGGATGATGTGGTGTTCTGCGCAGGTGCGGAGAAGCAGCAGACCATTGTCGTTTGAGCCGCGGAGACCGTGGGGACCCAGCACTCCTCTCCAGGCAGTGTGGTCTGTGCCGACGCGGGCGTTGAAGTCACCAAGGACAATCAACTTGTGCGCCTTCGACACAGTCGCCAAGAAGGCGTGCAGGTCCTCGTAGAATTTGTCTCTGACGGCGTAGGGGTTGGTCATCGTCGGAGCGTAGGCACTGATGATGGTGGCAAATTTGCC